CTGCAGCTCTGAGAGTTTAAGTGGCCAAGTCACACAGCTGGTAAATGGCAGGAAAAAGCACACACACAGTGTGTATTAGTATCTGTCATATATTTTAAAAAATCATCCCCTATCCCATTCTCCCCAGAGACCACACAGAAAGGGAGCAGTCTTAGGCACTGCCAAAGAATCAATACGGGATCTCCCAGGTTGGCTGGCAGGGGCCAGCCCAAGGCCGTCCACAGGAGGATGTGGAGATCTATTTCTCTATACCAACTCTGAGGACTCTGTTCAGCCTTCTTAGCTCTCCAGGGCCCTTCAGCCTTCTGGAAGGAGTTCACCCAGGGCACCACAGGAAGGTGCCTGGGGGTCGGGATATGGTACAAGGACCCGTGGGTTCTAATCTTGGATCATTAGCTGTTTGATTTTGTCAGAGTGACTTCCGGGATTAGTTTATACACCTGCCAAATGGAGGCAGTGCATGCCTGATAAAGCAGTATTGAGGACCAACTGATTTTAACACATGTGTGAGCTGAGAGACAGCTTGAAAGGTGGTATCAGACATCCCTGCCATCCTTATCTCCAGGCCGGGCCCTGTCTATCTGCCTGGGGATGATAGTCTGTCCCAGCTTATCCACCACAGCCTCTGTAGCTGGGGAGCCTGAGACTGAAGAACACCACCTCTTCCTCCCCCGACTCTCAGCGGATCACACCACCACGCCCAGGCAGCAGTCTCCACAGCTGAGAGACAGGATAGGGTTTTTCGCAAGGCTCCTCCTGAACATAGCCTACAAGGATCAGAGATGCAGGCAGAGATCCAAGGAACTCACTCGAACCTGTAGGCAGGACTGCTCCTCCTTGGCCCAAGGAGGAATTTCGCAGACAGAGAAGGGACTCAGTTAGACCCAAGGACCCAATGTCCAAATCCTGGTCATTCCATCTGGCGACTTTTCACTCATGCCCATAAAATGTCCTGCACTCCAGACAGCTCTGGGCCCTTCTTGAGAGCACAGCTGTCCTCTGATTGCCAAAGTTTTCCATCTACCACACGCCCAGGTACCAAAGCACAGTGGACATAACACACAGTAAGGGGACACCGGCCCTATACGCTTTTGTCCCACATCCATGACCTGCTCAGAATAAAGAGGCTCAGGAGCACCATGGCCATGTGCACCCTGTATATCTTCACTAACTGTATCTCACTGGCTTCCGCAGTTGCTCCCCACATCCCACACCAGGAGCCCCCACAGCACTGACTCTGACCCTCTCTGTTCTGTTCCTTGCTCTGGCCTCCACTCACACATTGGTGCCTAGGGCAGGGCACAAGTTTCCAAACTACCTAGGTCCTTGTTTCTCCCGAGGGATGCTGACCTGACTACAGTGCCATGTGGCTCACAGATCTTGGTTATTCCCTCGAGGGCTCCAGTCTGTGGGCTGCATGATACTTACTCTCACTCCTGCAGGATGTCCTCTCCCTTGCACCCACTACCCTGATGCAGCCACACATGACTCTTCATATCTTTGAGCCCCACCCACCCCATCCGGCCAGCACCAAGGCAGGCTGCCTGGAGCATGACTCATCCTTTCCCCAGCTTTTGGACATTCAGACTGGGGGACAGAGGCAAAGAAGAGCTTGGACATGGACATCAACTTGGGGGATGGGGACCAAGAAGACTGTCTAACCAGACAGGTAAAAGCTAGGGGATGGTGACCTGCCTGTTATTAGACATGCCCAGCGGCTATGTCCATACAGGTCTAATTACATATATAGGATCTGGATTATAAAGAAGCATGTTACCTATTGAGACACAGGAATGAGAATTCCCATGATGTGGGCATGGGGAATGAGGCCTGAGGATATACGGTATTTAAAATACTCTGGGAAGGGGCTGGGGATATAGCTCGGTGGCTTAAGCGTCTACCTGGCAAGTGCAAGGTTCTGAGTTGGAACCCTGGTACTGCAAACAAAACAAAACACCCCATAAAACTTTGGGAAGGATGGGGGTTGAACTCATACTTAACATGCTTGAGGTCCAAGGTTTAATCCCCAACACAAGACCAAAACCAAAATAAACCATCAGGGTTGTTGTGAGTAGAATGGCAGGTTTCACATCTGTGGCTCTGGCTTCACTTCACAGTCTAACCTGGTTCCTCCTCCAGGTCCCTTCCCTTCTCTGGAGCAGCCACACCAGAAGTCCCTTGGCTCTGTTGCCCACTGCAGTCAGCTGGAGTCCTTTGAAAAATGCAGACTGGCTCTCACTCCCAGATATTTTGATTTCATGTGGAGTTTTTAAAGCTCCCAGGTGACTCAAATGTGCAGCAGAGCTTGGACACCACCGAGCCATGGCATTCTTTTGGGCTGGCAGGGGTCAACCGTGTACCGATGCAGGCAGTCCTGGGACAGACCAGCAGTTGCCTCTCACCCCCATCTCCACTGTCCACTGATCTCCCTGCCCCTAATGCCAAGGTAACCTTACTGGGTCCCTAGCCTGTGCCCCCAGACTCTGGTCCTCTCCTTCCAGGGTCCCCGATCTGACACTTATTGTTTGCGGTTTCTTAAGCTGAGCCCAGGGGCCAGTGCCCCATCATGAGTGGATGGCCAACTACTCTGCTAGCTTCAGGACCATGTTAGCTTCAGCAGCAGGAATGAATCTGCAGGGACACAAGGCTCCTGGAAGGTCAGTGCTGACTTTCTGCGGGACCTGAGATCCACCATTCAAGCTCTTTGAGTCCAAGCTTAGCGGGAACGGTGCTGGCTGAGATGCTATACAGACCCCAGTTATCAACACAAGTGGCTCCTCTAGCTCCCGGGAACTGAACACAGCACCTGACGAGGAATGAACACTTCATGTGTGCTACTCTGTTCATTCACTCAATTCCCATAACAGCACTATTATTAGTTCCATTTTACAGCTGAAGGATAGAAGGCCTGGGGAGGTCACATCGCTGGTACAGTGTTCGACAGTCCCCGAGTGGGAAACCAGGCCTCTCTCTTTTAGTCCAGGACAATTAGAAAGCAAACATCATTGTTCCCAAGTGGATTCAGAACTTGTACCAAACGACAGTCAAAATGGGTTTGGTACATGAAACACCCACTCACACATCCCACAACTTCCAGACCTTTTTGGTAACAATAACCATTATTACTTCCAGACTGAACTTTCTGGTGGAAATGTGCCAAGGACTATGAGGCACCAAGCCTTGAGCAGTGAGCAAATGACAAAAGAAGTGACCACCCAGAAGGGCTGGGACATAGAAGCCACTCAGGGCAATGGAGACAGTGGGGGGTAGAAACTATTCCTCTATACCTCCCTCCCTCCTGTGACGTCAGCTCCACCCAGGCCAACTGAAAATCTATTCTGTACTTTCCATTTCCATCTCTTGCTGATGAAATTGGAGATGTCAAGGTCTGGTGTCACATGGTAGCTTCCAGATCAGAGGCTAACCTGAACACATACTTTGGATATCCAGACAGAGGTTTAAATCACTTTGAAAATTAAAGTGAGAGGCACGCTGTCAGCTCCAAATGCAGTACGTACCTGGGCAGTCAGACCCACTCCCCAAACTCAGGCCCAATCTCAGGACCCCAACTTAAGCACTCACTGCTGCCTCAGTCACTGGCACAGCCTCCTGGGTGCTCCCTCTCTGTCCCTCAGGGCAGAGCAATTAAAAAAAAAAAACACAAAAACACCTCCCTGTTGTAGCTAGAGGCTATAAAAGCTCAGCCCTACCCCTGCCTTTCACACACAGCCTAGGATTCTGAGGAAGCCTCAGGGCCCTACAAGTCTCTCTGGGGTCTCAGGGTGGCCACAGGACAGGGCCAGTAGGCATAAGGATGGAAGGCTGGGTCAAAGGTCTCATACAGGAGAATAAATCCCCGACTTCTGGCAGATTCTGCCAGGTCTTCCAAGAACAGAGCATCCTGGATAGAATTCCCCTTTAGTTTAGGTGGAGAGGCAGGGGTTGTTCCGGCCCTGTCAACTTTCCTTTCTCCACTTGAACTCTTGTTTGCCCCTACCTGCTCTGTAAGAACCCATTTTGGGTCTGTGGAGTAAGAAAGGGCCACAAGTATTCCCATCTGTGAGTGCTCCCCCATCAGCTATGTCCTATGGTAGGGGCAATTTGGTGGTCCTGGGACCTGGGGTCAGCAGTTGACCCTCTCCCCCTACTGCACAGTCCTGTCCCCTGTCCCCCCACGCCCTTGGCCCTGCTACCTAAAGCAACCTCACTGGGTCCTTTCTCCACTTCCCAGGCTCTGTCCCTCCCTTCCCAGAGTGCAGCCCAACTCTCAGTCTCTAAGGGGGGGGACAGCGTCGCCTGGCCCTGCTCTGGCTCCTCCAGCCACCCAGCTATCCAAGTGGCCTCTCCTCTACTTTTCCCCAGAAAGGTGTACAGGGCCTCACCTTCCACTTCCTAAAACACACCTACTTTCTCTTCCTCCAGGTTTCTTGCTGCTGGGTCACCGTTAGTCACCAGCTGCCCTCCCAGGCCCATTTACTGGATCCCCTCCCAGTACCTCCAACCCCTGGAGGGATTAGGGGCAGGCAGCTCTGCCCAGAAAAGAGAATCTGGGAGAGGGGGTTCAGAGACTCCGAGGGGTCAGGGCTGGGAGGCCACCTCCCTGCCCTGTGCAGATGGGAGAAACAGGGCCAGAGCAAAGGGACTGGCCCTCAGCACATAGCCAGGAGTGGAGAACCCCAGGGCTTCGGCTGCACGGCCGGACTTTCCCTTTGGGCACAGGGACTGGAGAAGGGAGGCCTGGATGTTAACACGAACTCTTTCAAAAGAGGGTCCGCAGGGGCAGCACAGCAGGGAGGGGGCAGGAATCGTTCAGGGCGGGAGCCTAATGGGGGAAGCCAGAGGATAAGAGGATGCAGGAGCCGGCCACGAAGTTCACCGAAGGCAGTGGTGGAGCGCGGGGCATGGGCAGCGGGCAGGCAGGTGTAAGAAGAGCTGGGGTGACCTCGAGTAAATCATGTCCCCACCGGCCCGGGGTACGCAGGGTACGCAGGGGCTCTCACCTTCTTGAAGTCGGCAGTAAAGGAGACCAGGGTGCCGTCGGGTTTGCGCAGCTCCAGGGTGATACTGTCGGCATCGCTGTCCGCCTGCAGGGTCTCCTCGGTCACCTGGCCCTCCGGCAGCCGCACGCGGACCCGCAACTCGGCCGGCCCCGCGCCCACGCCACACGGCGCCCGCAGCAGCGACAGCAGCAGCGGCAGCAGCAACCGCACCGTGGGGACCACGGGGCGCGCTGTGGGGGCCGCGCGGCGGCCTGGGGGGCGCATCCCCGGGGGCCGCCGCCGCCCTCCGGCGCTGGCAAACTTTGCCCGAAGTTGGGGGCCGGATCTGGGCACTGAGGCTCCGCTTCTCCCGGGACTGTGCCCCGAAGGGGCCCACGACGTGGCGCGGACGCACGTGGGCTGCACGCCGCCGCGCCCCGGCCGCCGGGGTCCCGCACTGCGCTGCCCGCCCGGTCCCGCTCACCGCTCCGCGCCGCGGCCCGGGCGCCCCCGACTCCGCCGCTCCAGACTCTGTTTTGCACTTTTCATTCAATCCCACCCCCCGTCACTTCCTTCAGAAAACAGAAACCACCGGGACCTGCCTTAAAGAGACCGCGCACCTCTCGGCCCTTAAAGGGCCCTCAGCGGCTGGGGCGGGGCGGGGGCGGGGGACGGCGGGGAGGCGCCGGCGAGAGCGGACCCCAGTCCCGAGCTTTGTGGGAAAAGGGCAGGGTCGGGGTGCCGCCCTCCCCGCTGCGCCCGTCCGCGCCCCAGCCTGGGTCAGGAGTTCGCCCTCTGGACGAATCCCTTTCTTCCAACAGGGGCGGGACGGATAACTCTTCCCCGCCCGGTCCCCCTCCCCTTTTTTGGCTTGTTCTAGTGCCACGTGGATGTAGTAATCGGACTTGGATTTTTAGGGGTTTGTGTTGGTCTTCTAGTTTCTCTGACACAGCGAATTTCTCAAAAGCGACTGCAAAATCAAACCTCCTCCCGCACTCCGCCTTTCCTCTGCCCTAGGTCAGGGACAGGAGCAGGGCTCCAGCCCATCAGTTTCGAGATCTCACAAGGGAGACCAGCACAGGGGGCCACACTCTAAGCCCCTCTGAAGAAACTTTTCCAACCCCTTGGGTCTTGATTCGCAGTTCAGGGCCTTTCCTCTGGGTAATGTTAGATACCAGACCACCGGGGTGCTGTACTTCTCACCCTCCAAGAAGATGCACCTACTTTGCTGTGCGGTCTAACAGTAAGCGAGTGAAGACTGGGCATCGGTGGCCCTGCCTTCTCTGATTTGCTGTGTCACTTTGGACCTGTCTGAAAATTGCAGTTGCCTGTTCTAGCGTTTACCCCTGATGCTCACACTGTTTTGCAAGGACCACGTAAGAGAAGACCACGGAGCCAAGTTTGGGACCCATTGTTTCTCTGTAGCCATCTGCACTTCTATTTGTTCTAGGTCCTCTTATCGGCCTTAGGATCTAGATGAGTGGAACCGCTCTTGCTCTGTAGCCTTCTTCCTGCCATGGCCCCCAGTACAGGGCTCTGTGGGCTAGAGGCCAGCAGAGTCCAGCCCTTCCACAGGACTGGTCGTATTACTCTCTAGGGCCTAAATTCAGGGCTAAAAGGGATTTAAGAGATTCTCAGTTTGAAATTAGAGATTCTCGTTCTCAGTGTGTCTTTTTTTTTTTTTTTTTGCTTTATTTTTATTTTTTTACATTTATTTATTTATGTGTGTGTGTGTGTGTGTGTGTGTGTGTGTGGCCAGCTCAGCCCACCTGGGGGCGGGGCTGGCTGGCATGTGGTGCTGGGGGATCGAACTGCAGTCCCTGAGCTTTACCAAGCTTGTTCCAAGTAGGTGCTTTAGACCACTGAGCCATCTCACCAGCCCCTCTCAGTGTGTCTTACCTAAAGAGTTATCCAGCTGCTTGTTAAAAACACAGTGTCGGGTCTAAACTTACTGAATCAGCTGCTAGGGAAAAGAACAGAGAATTGACATTAACAGGAGCTCATGTGGTGTTTGATACAGTCCATGTTGGTCCTTCATGGAAATAAGATGCAGAAGATCTGAAATAACCAGCATCTTCCCTGGGAAACCACCTGGCCACTGAGGACTTGTTCTTCACCCTAGGGAGATGGGGCAAAGAGCTAGAGAATAACTGGATTAGTCTATGGATTGCACACCGAGGGACTCTCACCCTGAGATGGCAGGATAGGAACTGAGAGATGCCTGGGATCTCTAAACTGGCCTCCTGCCTGCTGTGATACAAGCCATGGGTTCAGTCTTAAACTTGGGTCTTCCCTTGTGAGTCAGCGCTTACACTCATTTCAGACCTCACCCACATTTCCTAATTTCCGCTGCTTCCTGCAGTGGCTTTGCCTGCAGCCAGGTTCCCCGGCACCTGACCCTTCCTAACTGGCCTGTCACCATAGAAACCCAGAAGCAGGCAAACGAGCCTTGGATGTGTGACTTCTCTCTCATACCTGTTAGGCTTGGTCTCCAATCAGTTTGTGGTTTAGAAGTACAGATGGAAGACCCCATCTCTCCTCACTTCCCACAATCACCTTCCTTCTCTACTTCAACCTAGATCAAACTAGATTTTTCTCTTACCACTTGGGAGGCTGAGGCAGGAGAATCAGGAGTTCAAGGACAGTCTAGACTACATAGCAAGACCCTGTCCCAAAAACAAAAGAACAAAAATACCCAAACAAGAAACAATAGCCCACCAGATTTTTTCTTTTGGGATGACAGAATTTGAAATCTCATTCCATTCTGCAAACCTTATCTCTGTCACTGTTTTTTTTTTTTCCCCTTCTGCCTTAACCTGAACAAGTCTTCAAGATCCAGAACAAAATTTAGGTTTCCCAGAAAGACTTTCTCAGGTACCTCAGCCTGCTATCTCCGGACTCTGGACTCCAAAAATTATTATTATGGCAGCTACTGTTCATTGTTTTGTTATTATGCCCAGGTTCTCTGCCAAGTATTTTACATGGATCATCATATTTAATTTTCATGGCCACCCTCCAAAGCAGGTTCTATTCTTAGCCTCTTTTTACTGACTTAGAAACCCGGGCTTAGTGAAGTTAAGTAACATACCCAAGGTCAACAGGTAGCACAGCCAGCGGGAGCCCAGAGGCCTTGTCTGACCACGAAGCATTACACCACATCAGTATCTGCCTGTCTATAACCCTTGCTTGCTTCCGGCCCTGCTTGGACACACATCCTGCCCTATCTTTTTTTTCCTGTTATCTAACAGTCTTCTGTGTGGCATATCTTGTGTCCCCAGCAAGGTTGTCAGTTGGTCCAAATTGGCCAGCCACGTGCTGAGAACAGAGCTTGTCCCTTAAACCATCCAGGCATAGAGGCATCCATTCATCTTCAGTGTAAAGGCCCTCAGAGGAAATGCTCTAACAAGCCTAATGGCCCTGACTATAGCCAAACAGCCCTCTTTGTCAGAACGTTCTTTATGTTTCATCTCAAGCCCTTCTGCCACACCAATCCCCTTTCCTTTCTCTTGTCTAGCTCTACCAGGGAGTGTCATTTCTAGCAGTGGTTCAGAGCAGGGACTTCAGGATCTCTTCCCTGGAACTCGGCCACTTGGGAGCTGTGCACTTTGGTGAGCATCTTCATCTGTAAAATGGGGACACGTGGGCCAGCCAGATAGCTCAGTGGACTAAAGTTCCTGCTTAGACAGGCACAGGGACCGAGGTTTGATCCCAGACCTGCCATGCCAGCCCCACTCTTGGGGCGCACTGAGCTGGCAATGGAGACTGGGTGTGGTGGTACACACCTGTAATCCCAGCACTTGGGAGACTGAACACAGGAGAATCACTGTGTCCAATCTGCATAGTGAGACACTGTAGACCCTGTACTAAAATACAAAAAAAAGGGGGGAGGGCAAGCCTGCTTATCTCACTGGGCTTTAATTTTTTTTTTTTTTCCCGGAACCGGGGATTGAACTCAGGCCCTTGCGCTTGCCAGGCAAGCACTTATTCTACTGAGCCATCTCTCCAGCTTAACATTTTTTATTAGTAGATGTTTACAGTCCATAATGATCACATTTATGGCAAAGAGTCCATCCATGTGCACAACACAACTTAATTCTTTCTTGTCCCCTTCCCTCCCAGCCTTTCCTGTTTGCTCAACTCCTATTCCCCTTCCTTTTTTTTTCTTCTTCAGTACCAGGGATCAAACTCTGGACCTTGCAACTTGCCAGGCAGGTGCTTATGCCACTGAGTTCCACCTCTTCCTATTTGAAAACAAAACAAAACAAAACAAAACAAAAAAAAAAGAAAAAAGAAAAAAGAAAGAAAGAAAAAAAATTCCTTTCCCCCTTTTCTGTGTTTCTATCTCTATAAGTCCCCTTCCCTTTCCTCGTGTTCTTCCCCTTCCCTCCATTTCTCATTCATCTTCCAAATTGCACAAAGATCCTGCTGCTTCCTGCTATCCGTACTCTTTTCACTCTTTATTTATATTTTGGGTTTCTCACATAAGAGAAATCATGCAATAATTAAACTCGTGTGCCTGATTTTTTTCACTTACGATTATGGTCTCAAGGTGCATCCACTTACCTACAAATGCCTCGAGCTTGTCCTTCTTGACAGACTCCATTGTGTATAAATACCACACCTTCTTTATCGGAAGGGTCTACAGGGTGTTCAGGGTCACTACTAGGTCGGACTCATAGTGATCCGCCTGTTTACAGCCTCCCAAGAGCTGGGATTACAGGTGCGTACCACCATGCCCAGTCTCAATCACCATCTTATTGCCCCCCAGGGGCGGGGCTGGCACTGCAGGCCCGGGGATCAAACCCCTGGCCCCTGTGCCTGCTTGCAGGAGCTTTAATCTGCTGAGCTATTTGGTTGGCCCTCCATTCATTTTTTTTTTTCCATTCATTATTGATGGCCATAGGCTACTGCCAAAATATAGATGTTATGAATTGTGCTGCTATAAACATGGGTACACATATATCTCTATAATATGATGTCTTTAACTCTTTTTTTTTGCAGAACCAGGGGTTGAACTCAGGCCCTTGTGCTTGCCAGGGAAGCACTTAATCCACTGAGCCATCTCCCCGGCTCTTAGGTTTTAGGGTTTTAAAAATTATTTATTTGATACAGGATCTCACTACATAGCTTGGACTCATAGTGATCCTCATGTCTCAGCCTCCCCAGTGCTGGGATTACAGGAGTGCACCACCATACCCAGATCAGGGGCTGGCATGGCATGCAGTACCAGGGATTGAACTCAGGTCCTTCAGCTTTCCAGGTAGGGGCTTAGACCACCAAGCTATCTCCTGGGCCCCATAGTTTTTAGTTTTTTGAGCAATCTCTATACCGGTTTCCATAGTGGTTGTACTAGTTTACATTCCCATCAATACAGAAAGTTTCTTTTTTCTTCATAGTTTTGCCAGCATTTGTTATTATTTGATTTCTTGACAATGGCCTTTCTTTCTTTTTTTTAGTTTTAGGAAAGGGTCTATAGGGTGTTCAGGGTCTCACTACTAGATCAGACTCCTAGTGATCTACCTGTTTACAGCCTCCCAAGAGCTTGGATTAAATGCCACCACAGCCAGTCTCAATTACTGTCTCAGTGTGCCCCGGGGGTGGGGCTGGCAAGGCAGGCCTGGGGATCAAACACCCAGCCCCTGCACCTGTTTGCAGGTACTTTATGGTCATTCTTTCTAGAGTGACCATATGATCAAATGGATCAAAAGTCTAAATATTAAAATAGAAACATCCAATCTGTTGGAAAATAGGAATACTTCTCAAAGACATAGGTGT